AGCTAACTGTGTGCGTGTGAGTGAGATGGTTTGGTTGGTTGCAGGAGGGTAGAAAGTGGTAAAAGGGGTTGGTAGACTGTCAGGATGAGGTGCTAGAAAAGTTACCAGAGAGGAGAATGGCTGTGCGGTGCTTGTGATTAATAGGGTACATTGATTGGACAGCTGAGCAGTTCATCTGTCAGCTTCACTGTAGTGTGTCTTCTTTTTCCTGTCCCACTCTGTCTCTCAATCTATCCATTTCTCTTGTACCTCTGCCCTACATACTGGTCCAACTGAAGTGACCAGAAACTTCTGTGACCTTCTCAGTCTTGATAAGTTAGGTATTTAACCAATATTGGCTTTGTTCATTGGAATCAATACAAGTTCCGTAAATTTTACGGGAATTGTTAGTAACAGTTTAATTGATGTTGCGATTCAGTGGCAAACTTTCGTGACCAGGTAGATTGCCTTCATAACAAATGATTTTTTGAGCATCTGAATAATGGATTAATCATACAGTTTACAGTAGAATTAAAATTTGATGCCCATAATTAGTTTTGCCTTCATTAGTATCAAGGAATTTTGAAAATTGTTTTGGAAAATATTTGGATCTAGTCCATATCAACAGCTAGGCAGAATGATTAAAAATAATGTAGTGAGAAATTTCATGGTTGTTGTACATTTTTACTTAGAATAATACAGTGATTTTAAAGTATGGGGCCTGCCTCCTTGTGTAATTGTTACTTGTTAGTTGAGGGTGGTTATACAGCATGTCTGGGAAAGTTATGCAGTGAATCTGAATTAATTAAAATTCTTAAAACATCATAACATCATAAAATATTGATAAGTATTACATTATAAAAATCTAAGATGTGTTGATTTTAAAAATGAAAAATTGACAATGCTGTCATAAGAATGGGGTTATAGTGAAACTTTTGCCAAGGTAGAAGGGGTCAGTTTGTATGGAGATGGTAAACCACTGATGTAAGGTGACTAAATCTAGGGAGTTAAAAATACTAGGCAGATAGCATGGGGGGAAGGGGAATGAGAAATACATTCAGAATTTTGATAGGGAATCGTAAGAAAAGACAGTGTTAGTCATCATGATGTAGCTAATAGAATGAAATTAGGAGTTCAGATTGTTATGTAACTACACTGTCAGTATTAAGGCTATATAAGATCGATGGTGGGATGATTAAGAAATGTGGAGCTTTTGGTGGACTTGGAATAGACGGGGGAACTGAAGTATTTGGAGAAAACTTGCCCCATTTTTATTTTGTTCACCACAAATCCCATGTGATCAGTATTCCCATTTTAGCTGTACCTAGTGTAATAAAGGCTAGAATTTGTTTCCCCCCCACAATGTTAGTGCCTTTAAACAGACAAATAGACAAATATTTAATACAGTATTTGTAAATTATGTTTGTAACCAGTCACAGTATCAGTTTTCACATGAATCAATTCTTGTAATTACACCCTGCTCAAAAAACAGACAAGACACTATTCTTAACAAAACCTGCATATTTTTCAATATATATATATATCACTATATAAAATTGTGTACACCCTTAATGTAATCCCCCCACAACCTCCAATAGGTTTTTCAATTTGTCATGTTGGAGTTATTGGTATTCTAAGTTCAAGAAGTGTATAGATACTGTGTAAGATTTGAGGCTTTCACGGTGGTGACCATGAAGAAAGCAGTCTTCTGGGATTTGGCACCGTGTATATGTGGTGTTAACCGACGTTTCGGAGGAACGTATCGCCTCCATCTTCAGGGTAGAAGAAAAAATATAAGAAATCTGCAAGCTAAGAGACCGTGAGAACCAGTAACACAGTCTGCTTTTGCCAGTTCTCACGGTCTCTTAGCTTGCAGATTTCTTATATATTTTTTCTTCTACCCTGAAGATGGAGGCGATACGTTCCTGCGAAACGTCGGTTAACAGCACATATACACGGTGCCAAATCCCAGAAGACTGCTTTCTGTATAGATACTGTTTTCTCCATTGACATAGTCTTACCACTTGAATTTTTAAGGGAACACAGCATTACATATAAAGCTATAGTGTTTTATTTTTTAAACCTGTGAAGCATGAAACTCATCAAAATAATTATTAAAGGTTTGATTCTTACATTACAGAATAGAGTATCTCCATTACAAAGAGCTGTTTACTCAGAGGAGGCAAAATTCATAAATAATATCTGTAGGCAACATTTAGAGGTTTTTTTTTTTTAAGTGGGTGGGTATAGGAACCACTCTGATTTAAAAGGATATATTGACTTAAGAAAAGATCAGACTGTTCCATTAAAAATTAAACTGACTTCATGTCATCCTTTCAAGTTACTAATATAAAATTTAGAAATGCTTGTATGAGTATACTGAATCTACATTAAACTTTATGTTGGAAAGGAACATGTTTCACCTCCAGATGTGTTACCTTCCATTACATTTGTCAGGTTTCAGTTTGCTCATGTCAGGTTTATTTCTGTATTGTGGGATTCTAAGGGTCCATTGTCTTGTCTGTTTCTTTGAATTGACTTTTCCTGACAGCTCACTCACGGAATTGGCATCTTGTGAGCAGGGAGGGAACAAGAGGAGGCTGGAGATGGAGTAGGAATGCGTGTGCGTGTGTGAAGCTCTTTATAGGATTGCACTGGCAGCAGCAAGCCAGGCTCCTTTTGACATCGATGGAAATGATAATATTAATAACAGTAAAAAATATGATTGAAATACAGATATATTTAATAACAACAGTAATAACATGTAGGATTTTAGGTTCTTACAGCAATGGTTATGAAGAGTTCTGTCCTCTGGGAAATAATGCCTTGTAGTCCATTAAAAATTAACTGCTATTTCGGAGGAAAGTGTCGCCTCCATCTTCAGGGCTGAAGAATAAACCATGCAACAATACCAGGTTTGCAACCAGCTTCATATAGTTTCTTTCTTGGCTTATTCACCCTGAAAATTGCGGCAACATATTCCCTGACTTTCAGCTGACTACTACGTAGTGTTACATCCCAGAAGATAGAACTCTTCAACAGTGGTAACAGATTAACAACAGTAAGAACAATATATACTCATCTGAATAGTGCAGTATTAATATTAAGATGAAAACACTTAATTGCATACTGAATTTCTGACGTCATTAGCTGTGTAAGGTGTTTCACATTTCATGTGAATGCTTTGTCTCTCAATATGTAGATAGAAATTTCTTTTGAGTTGTTGTGAGAATAGAAATGGATTTAACGTCATGTTTTGGAGCCTAATATCAGTGACCTGCATAGTTTTATTAGCACTAAAATGTTGCAGCTATATATTAATGTAACTACCTGAGTTTTTGTTTACACTTTATCCCCCCTGTTTGGCTGCTTGTGGCACATTTATGTCTGCTGATCTCTTACAGGCCCCTCCCTTTCTTACATCTTCCCACCCACCTATGATGCAAACATAACATTTACATTGGTTCATTGATGAGGTTTGTGCATGATAAATAACCATCATCATGTTACAGAACATTTGCACACTAATTTAAATCAGGCACTAACACGACATAAAGACAGTTAACAGATCCCAGAATAATGTGGCACAGTTCAGATATTTATGAATGACAGTAACAGATCAAAATTTTATTCAGGTGGAAATTAAGAGAAGATCGAATTCGATAATCCTTGCCGCCATTCAGTCAAGAACCTTTTGGCATCTCGTCTGCTGTCTAAAAACATAAAAATTAGAACATACAAAACCATAATTTTGCCCGTGATTCTGTATGGGTGTGAAACTTGGTCTCTGACATTAAAGGAGGAATATAGACTGAGGGTGTTTGAGAACAAGGTGTTGAGGAGAATATTTGGACTGAAGAGAGATGAAGTGATGGGAGGTATAATCAGTGTAAGTAGGATCACCAAGTCAAGGAGGATGAGATAGGTAGGACATGTAGGACGAATAGGGCGAAGCAAAATGCATGTAGGACATTGGTGGGAAAGCCAGAAGGAAAGAGACCACTAGGAAGACTAAGATATAGGTGGGTGGATAATATTAAAATGGATCTTAGAGAAATAGGTTGGGGTGGTATGGACTGGATTGATCTGGCTCAGGATAGGGACCAGTGGAGGGCTCTTGTGAACATGGTAATGAAATTTTGGATTCCATAAGATGTTGGAAGGTTCTTGAATAGCTGCATAACTGGCAGCTTCTCAAGAAGGGCTCAGGTCCATGATGTTAGTTAATTAGTTGCTAACATGTTAGAGTATTCAGACTTTTTGGCAAATTTCGTTATGTATGTCAGCTATGATGTCCTCTTCCATTAGAAATTTTAAACTGTAACACCCATTAAGATCAGTAAGAAAATGTTATTGACTGCCTCTGTGCTCTAGTGGTCAGAGTTCCTCACTACAGATCAGAGGTCCCGGTTTCAATTCCCGGCGCTACCAGATTTTCTCAGAAGTAATGGGTGTGGAACGGGGTCCACTCAGCCTCGTGAGAATAATTGAGGAGCTATCTCAAGGAAATAGCGGCCCCAGTCTAGAAAACCGAGATTAATGGCTGTGGAGATCTGTTGCGCTGACCATGTGACTCCCTCTGTCCACAAAATTTGGTACTAACTTCGCCGATGAGTGGCGGTTGCTCGGTCGGTATAGTTTGCTTGCACACTACGGGCCACAGATTTTGTTTTTTTGTTAGAAAATGTGATTGTATCAGACTGCATCAGGGTAAATGGTAATTGTGATTTGAATTAATTTTCTGGGGCATTCAGAATCCTGATGTCAGTCAGACCCTGATAATGAGGACAAAGATGGTCCCTGAAATACTGATTATTTTTAACAACCCTAAAAGATTTATTATGAACGGCAGTGTTTAAAATTAGTATGTATATATGCATTTATGAACAGCTAGGTGCAGTTGTGTTTTTTCAATGGTGGACAAGCTTTATGTCTCTACATGGACATGTAATGCATTTTCTTTGTGTTGTGCTAGTCATCATTTAGGAATTGTTCATTGTGTTTATATGTCTTTGTTGCAGTATGCTCAAGAGACTCAGCATGAGAAAATTTTACGAGGTCTGGCAGTAGGCATTGCACTGACTATGTATGGTCGTCTTGAAGAGGCTGACCCTCTCATCACTAGTCTCTGCCAAGATAAGGATCCCATCCTACGTCGCTCCGGCATGTATACACTTGCCGTGGCTTACTGTGGCACTGGGAACAACCAGGCAATCCGCAAACTGCTCCATGTTGCCGTAAGTGTTTCCAATCTTGTTGTTCTGTTCTGACACTTTGTATGGTACAAAGTTAATTTGTAACAGGGAAGTTTATTTTTGTGTTTTATTTTATTATGCTGTCAGTATTTCAGACTGCATAGCGTCAAATTGTATGACGACTGGTGCATAATGAATTGTACAGTGTTTGAAACAAGGGTCATGACCTAATTGAGGTACTGTTCCAGCATTTTTCTGAAGACCATGAAAGAAACGTGGAAGACCTCAGTCTCAGTCCAGACCTTTCAGTTCTGTTCTCTGAGCATGCGGCTACAGCTGCAGTAGCTCGTATCTGATTGACATATCTGCTTGACATCTGCCTGTGCCTCGAATTTGCGAGAGTGAGTACACTCCTCTTGGCATGGTCATCGTGAAAGGGCATCAGCATTGTGTTTTTGGCCTTGATGGTGCTTGGAATTGAAGTTCTATTATAGTAGGTGCTGAATCCAGCAGGCAGTTCGTCCTTCAAGGTTCTTAAATCTTATGAACTATGCTAGTGCGGAGTGGTCAGTGCGCAGGTGGAGCTCTTGTCTGTAGAGGTACATACAGAAATATTTTAGTGTCCTCACAGTGAAACTTTTTGTGATGCCCATCTGACATGAGTCAGTTCATGGTATGACAGGCTGCCCTTGCAAATACATGTGTCCTGTGGAATTGATGCTGGTGTTTTGCTACTCAGTATCATTCTTAAAATGATCATGAACCAATCCTTTGAAATGTACTTGTGTTTGGTTTCCAGTCTGGTCCCTCAAAACATCACTTTATTGTAATATTCCAGCTTATGCATCAAATAAGTGTATCTGATGATTGTCAAACAGAGTTTTGGAAAAGAAAGTCTTGAAGAAAGCAGTTTTATGGGATGTGGCGCCATGTAGATATTGTGTTAACCAACGTTTCGGAGGAACGTATTGTCCCGATCTTCAGGGTAGAAGAAAAAAGAAGAAAATCCGTGAGAGAGGAACCAGCATGAGAAAGTGCTAACAGTGCCACATCCCAGAAGACTGCTTTCATCATAGTCACTGCCGTGAAAACATCAAATCTTGCACACAATATCTTGTTTGAATTTGAAGAATTCTTATCTTCTGGGATATAATGCCACGTAGTCCAATCAAAGGAAGCCAGTATTTTGGGGAAACTTATCACCTCCATCTTCAGGGTTGAAGAGTGAGCAAACTCTTTGACCCAGAAGATAGAACTCTTGAGGATATCTTAGTATCAGCAAGTGTTTAGTGGTAATATTGGGTGTGATTAATATAATCACGCAGACACAAACATCACATTATTGCTGCTTAAAAATTATGTCTGCACTGCTGCTATTGAAACTAAAACAGAACAGGATGCTGCAATACAGAATTATTTTTTAGGTGTCGGATGTTAATGATGATGTAAGGCGTGCAGCTGTCACTGGTTTGGGCTTTCTTCTGTTCAGGTAGGGATGTCGCCATTCATTTTGTTTTGGTCACCTGCTCTTTGTACATTGTATCTTGAATTTCCATCTGATGAGGTATAATACAAAGAAATGTAATTAAAATATTAAGACCATAAGTTTTTTAAAATTTTGTTTGGAAGTTCACATCAGTTTTCATCTTCATCACTACGGGTGTGAAAACAAACAGTACAAGCATATCTGTCACAGTGTTAAGAATGGGAGTAGAGCCAGAAGCATAATTATGGCACAAAGACATTGACAGTTAGTAAATTACAGTAAAGAATTTGGTAACAAAAGCCATCATGTGTTTTAAACAAGTATTATTGGTATTAAATACATAATTTTGGAATTCAAAGTACAATTTTCAAATTGCCGTAGATTGTTTTTGTTTTGCTTTATGTATGAACCTCATAGTTATTAATTTCTGTATGTTGGCTGTATTTATGTACAGTTAAAGTTAAGTATATCAAAGTGTATTGTCTGTAATGGTACAGAATTATTATCCTTTCAGTAATTTTGTCATTGCTTAGACATACATTTAATGCCGGCTGCAAAGGGAATGACTGGGTGTGTGTAGTGCTGTGTAGTGGCTACCACGCCTTTGTGTTCTTCAGTTGTCAGCTCAGATCGTGGTTTCAGTGTGCAGTATTCTATCTGATATATTACATGATTTTCCTCAGTTCATTAAAATGAAATGCCATGAATGCTTTTGTCATAATTTTGGAACTTCTGGAAACTTCTTATAACCTCATTGTTTGATATAGTGCCATCATTTGCCATGAGATAAAAGAATGCATGGACTTTATATTATTGTTTTGGACACAGAAAATACTGGATCAGGATCATCTTTGACTTGTTGATGGCCAAGTGTGGGAAGGGAAGACAAGGTTAAGCATACACATGAATTGAAACGAGGACAGGAGTATCGTGTTGTTATACAGGTTGTTACCAAACTCTCATTGTGTTCATTTTGTGGCTTGACAAGCCTCAACAGTGTAACAGTTGTAGGAGTCTTAGTTTGATGACCACAAGTATGCTGAGGGACATTCAGTTGGCCATGGCAACAAGAAGGAAAATATGAAGAGAGGGAGGGAGGAATTTCGGCCATGGGAGACAGTGTATGTTATTTTAGGAGGTGGAGTAAACCGGAAATAATGAGCATATAATTACAGTTTTTCATGTAAGCCAGGAGAACAATAATTTCTTAGTCATGAGGGTTGTGTAGGAACATATTATGTATGTGCTTGGACTGGCTGGTGTAATGGTTCTGGTGGAGTTAGTGCCTCCCACCATTTCACCTGATGTTGGAAACAGATACAGTTTACAAATCGTTGTGTTCTTTAGAGTACCAAATGAAGGACAGAGTCCAATTGTTATGTTCTTAAGAGTACAGAGGAAGGACAGAGTCCAATCATTGTGTTCTTCATAGTACCAGATGAAGGACAGAGTCCAGTCATTGTGTTCTATAGAGTACCAGATGAAGGACAGGGTCCAAAAACTCAGTAATCCTGAGTTTCATACACCACTATTAGAACAATTTGGAATTGACTGATAATCTTGCAAGTAGCCACATCTGTTACTGTGATGTGCAAGCATTTCAATGTGTTATTGGGTGCACTTCAGATCCTCATTTCTGGCCCTACTTCTTAATTGAAGAGGTATACTTTTTTAATTTATTGAACGGTATTCCTTATTTAAAAGTCTTAGCTACTGTGTGCTCTGATATTCAGAAGGAAAAGCAGCCATGTTGTGGGCTTGTATTAACTGACCAAGTAACTAACTCACTAACTAACTCCATGAGAAATCAACAGGCATTCAACTAGTCAAAAATTTCTATCTTTTATGGAACATGAAGATTCATTACACTCATGACAAAAGGTCCCTGGGTCACTGGACCATAAGCCAGATGAATCAAATCGACATCCTCACATCTTATTTTGGGATCCATTTTAATATTCTTCTCTCACCAGCACTTACTTCTCTAAAGTTATTGCCTCCCCTCAGGTTTTCCTACCAATTCTGTATGTGTTTCTCATCTCTTCCATGCTTGCCACTTGTGCCATCCATCTCACATAACTTTATTTCGTCACCATAAGAAATGAAACATTGACCAGACATATGAACGTTCTGTTGATAAAAAGTCTCGTTTATGATGCAGAGTGCACAGTCTTTGTTGGTATGAGTGTTCTGTGTAAAACGAGGTTTACTGCCTGCACATGCAAATTCTGACTCATTCAGTTAATATTATCACTTTTTGGAAATAGTGTAGTTTGATAGAAATTGTTTCTGATCTTGCCAGTTTTAATTGTTGGTGGCTTTTGTGTCAGTACTGAATTCATTTTGTTTCATCTTGTGTATGTCACTGCTATGTGAATATGTCCATGGATCACAACTTTTCTTTTCTAACGAAACAGTTTCATGGGTTTGCAAATGATATACACTTCGGTTCTGACTGACAGGTCCTAAGTCGATCTGGTCGTATGTCGGCCATATATTTATTAACAATATTTTTTAACCTTTCTAATCTTTTTGTAATCTAATTTATTTTTAAAAACTTTTACATTTTAATCATCTTTTATTTATTTATTTTTTTTGTGGTCATAAGTCGACGACCAAGTGTATAGGCTTATGATTTAGACACAGTCCTGTACTTGTTCCATAAAAGGCAAAGTTGTCTACGTTCGTAATTAAGCGCCACTTCATTAGGCGTATGGTGGAATGGAGGTATAGCCCCACGGATTCTTAATCTGGGCACCACATGCAGTTGTGTTGTCAGCTTTATTCTTTAGCTTGGTGAGGTCCAGAGTATGTCTGGACGAAATGCTGAAGAAAAATATCTCTGTTCGTGCCGAAAATCGAACCTTAATTCTTGGGCCGTCCAGCCTGAAGGCTAGTTACTATGCAGACTGAACCATGTGGGCTTTGAACCCGTTTTCTACCAATATTACGTAACTCAGTTTTGGGCCTTGTTTCTAGTCGTACGATAGACAACCGGGATATAAAGTCAGTGACACTGTTAGGAAACGAATTTTGGCGACATTTTATTGAAAAACCGGAAGCAACACCCTTGACCGACGCTGTGCAGCATCGATATTGAAGACTTAAAAATAGTTCTTTTAATCTCGCCACATGTAGAGTATTTTGTTGAAGGTATTTAATGGGGGGGGGTACGTGGTGGCGTAGTTGGTTGAGGCACTATGCTACAAGCCGGAAGGTCGCAGGTTCGAGTCCCGATGAGGTCATTGGATTTTTAAATTGACCTAATCCTTCCAGCCTAATCCTTCGACTCAACCTCTTAACAGAAATGAGTACCAGGAGTTTTCCTGGGGATAGAGGGCTGTCGGTGTATAAGGCTCCTCGGCGTCTCGCAACCGTATAGGCCTCCTACCTGTACACTTTACAAGCCAAGACTTGTAGGTTGTTAAATAAACCAATTAACAATACAAACGGCGTCTTCAGTGGCATAAACACGTTACAATATTAATGACACAAATAATAGGCTTTTCAAGTAAACTTATTTTCTTTCATCGACCTCCTGTGTGGGAATTGTGTATTCTGTACACGGTCATTTATTTTAAAACGTATTGATCTGTAAAAAAACAGTGTCGATAAATGATCTTAATTCTAATCTTTTATTATTGGTAGCTATATAGAGCTACAGAGTACAGTTTCGCAAAACTTATTCAGCGATGAGGCATCATTTCAGTCGTCAGAACGAATGTATCAGCACAATTTGCGGATATGCGGAGCGAAAACCCCGGTTGTATCATCTGAACACGAAAGGGACAGCCACAGGGTTGCCATTGCAACAAGGTCGGAGGTGCGGCGACGGCCCCCGAGATCACCTGGCCCGCGCCAGTGGATTGTTTTTCTTTTGGAGATGGGTGGTAGGAGGCTAAATATCGGTTTGACAATTTCAGAATCTTCCATGGCGCTCACATTACACGTTATAGGTTTTCGTAACACTTTTTATGTTAATCCGTCAAGTGGTTTGGCTTCCCAACCGTACCCTAAACGTTCCGTGAGTGATTAAAAATTAAACCTTTGACATCCTTTATGAACACTGCATGGTGTAAGACCTGTGAACATGCCTTAATGACTTGGCAGTTAGTAATTAGCAATTAGCGTCGTTTGAGTGCCGATCACAGTGGCCGCGCGGTCTAAGGCATGAACTGTCTTCGCCCACTTGAACGCTGGGCTCGTGGGTTCGAATCCCACCTGAGGTATGGATGTCTGTATGTGTTTATTCTGTGTTTATGTTGTTCTGTGTGTAGGTAGCGGCCTTGCGACGTACTGATCCCCGGTCCAAGGAATCCTACCGACTGTGTATAGGCTTAATAAACTGAAAAAGCGTCCAATTTCCAACAAAGGACTGTAGAGACATAGGTTGGTAGGCAGTGTGGTTTGAGTGCATGTGGCCTGCTTTGAGGTACATTCACGGCGGCCATGTACCGAATGGAACAAGTAGCTCTTCCGTGTTTTATTTATAGTGTACTCGGGAGTTGTTTTCATACGTGTGTTGTCGTGAACTTCTCTAATGTTCACTTGTCTATTATGTTTACAGTGTGTGATTCTTGTCACAAATATGGCAGCCTCGAGAAGTATGAAATCGAAGTTTTATGTCTTCTGTGATATAACGCCGTGTAGTCCGATGGGTCAGCTGGTGTCTCGGACGAATATATCGCTTTTCTCTTCGCGTCCGAAGGGAAAAGCGAGCAACAAACTTACTGCTTGCCTCACGCTGCTCTTTTAATCTTTTTACACAGTCGGTAGGACTCCTTGGACGGGGGATTAGCCCGTCGGATGGCCGCTACATGACGACCATATGTTTATCACATTCATGTATTGGAAATATCGTCCCTGCAAGTCAAGTTACGCCTTGCCGAGACATAACCAAGCTTGCTTGTTATTCAGGCTTAGGTATCATTAGTTGCCAGAATATATTTCGAAATCCTTTCCCGGGAACACTCGTTACAGCGGGACTTCTAGTAGCAGTAATG